AAAAAAAAAAGAAAGAAAAAGAAAAAATTGTGTTTATGCAAATCCAGACATGGATAGGACTTGACTACTTTTAATTTGCTACTAGTGGGTATTATCTGGAAAAAAATTTCAAATTACATAAGTTTTATTTATTAAAAAGACTTTAATGAGTATTTTAAAGTTAAGACTGGATCAATGTGAAATTTTAAAAATTGTCATTTAACTATAATTGTAAACTAGAAATAGCTTTATACTTACCAAGTTGCTCGAATTTCTACGTTAAGTTTAGCTCTTTGTAATCTTTAGCTGCTATTCAGGCTACCAATTTTAGACTTATGCACTCACAAATCGAGAATATGTCATCAGAAAGCACCACTACACTTCACATTGTGCATTTAACCCCTCTGTGCCCAAAGTCCCTTGTACAATACACCGCAAAGCAAACAGGAAGGTACCACCACAGTAGATGGTCCAGTCTCCTGTTGCAACAAGGGTAAGAGACACATTGAGGGGGCCCTGCATTAAAGGAAGCTATAGTGTGCTACAACAGTGCAACAAAGAGGGTCAGGATAACAACCTGTTGGTAGCCATGAAATAGGATGTCTGTGCCAAATCCTTGCTTGCTGTAAGAAAAGAAAAAAAAAACGAAGACAATACTATCAGCTTTAACGTGCCACCATCAAAAAGTTCTCAACACAACAAAAACTTCAAAGATTTGTACACAAAAAGTAAATTTTACTTACTACTTACAAATATCACAAGAGCGCCATCATTTTCTATACTACTGAAAATCTTCAACAACATTCACTCAAATGTTTCTTGCTATCCCCCAAAGATCTGAGAAACAAGCCGATTTGCTTTTAGCTAGCCAGTTACAAGGGCTAAACTTGTTACTAAGTTAAGCATCTAGTCAGCTAAAAGTTGCAATAAAGCATTCTCCTGGATTTAAAAAAAAAAAGAAGAAGAAGAAGAAAAGATTTTGAAGTCTAATACAAAATACAAAGAGTTTGCCTGCCAGACTTAATCCTCATCATATTTAAATTGGCTTAAATACTTCCATCAAAACAAAACAAAACAAACCCCCACCCCACAAAACACAGAGCACAAACGGCTCAGTTTTTCATCATGCTATTAAGCATCAACAGAGAATAAACCTAGAAACAGCATATGCGTATAAAGGAGGCTCCACTATATTTTATTTCCAATTACAGAATCTAATTAAAGACAAACTTAGGAAAGATACAGGTATTCTAGGGAGGATCTGAACGCTTCAACACTGGTCCCCAACAGAAACGCAATTTTTAATTAGCTTAAGACACCGAAGAATTTTCCCTCCCCTTATTCTGCCTCTTAGTCTTCCCAACAGGGAAGTCCTTTTCAGTTTCCCTTTTCCCCAATTACATTCACAACCACTGACATACCTTTCCCCTCTTCTCACCTAGAATCGGTTTATCTCAACTCCACCCCTCTAACAGTCCTCAAGTTTCTTCCCCATCCCCTATTTTTTATTCATGGCACCTGTAATCCCTGCTGCCCCATGTGGATCATCAACATAAAGGTTTTACAAAAGGGATTTGGGTTTAGCAGAGTTGTGCTAAGGAAGAGTGTCAAAGCATCAGATGTCTTGGAGGCAGTGTGACTTTCCTGGTGGGGAGGGAAGGAGAAATCACAGAAGTGAAGGTCCCTGTAAAATGACATTAGCCAATTCTGCAGCAAAGTAGCATATTATCAACTTTCTCATCTCCAGAGGGGGAAAAAAAAGACTACAGAAATCAAATTTATTTTCCCCTCCCCCCAGCCCAGAATAAAAATACATAGAGAAGAAAAAAATAATGATTTAAAAATGCCATTAGCAGTTTTCACCAAGGAATGTATCTAAATTCAGTGATCTAGAAACAGTCACTGTGCAACAGAGAATAGAGGGGAAATGCTTTGTTAGCTGAAAGGTGTAAAAGAGCAAAGAAAAAAGAGACGCCACACATGAAAGAATGCTTTTAAAATGGAGATATACTCTATAGTTACCTGAAATGTTAGTCAGACAAAATGACATTAAACATATACGTGCTTTGTACTCAAATTTAAGAATCAGTCACATTTTAACATTAACAACAACAAAAAATCTGGTCTAAATATTTTGGTTTGGATGATTTATCAAATTCGTAGTTTTTGTAATGTTTGAAAAGTTACTATTTCATTTTTCAAGCAAACTGACTTCATGTCTCTAAAAATTTCATCTGTAAAAGAACATGGACAAAAATATTAACCTTTGGGCTGGGCGCGGTGGCTGATGCCTGTAATCCCAGCACTTTGGGAGGCTGAGGCAGATGGATCACGAGGTCAGGAGTTTGAGACCAGTCTGGCCAACATAGTGAAACCCTGTCTCTACTAAAAATACAAAAATTAGCCAGCTGTGGTTGTGTGTGCCTGTAATCCCGGCTACTGGGGAGGCTGAGGCAGGAGAATTTGCATGAACTTGGGAGGCGAAGGTTGCAGTGAGCCGAGATCACGCCATTGCACTGCAGCCCAGCTGACAGTGCAAGACTCCATATCAAAAAAAAAAAAAAGAAAGAAAGAAAAAGAAAAAAGAAAATCTCTGTTAAGAAATTTAAAATTGGCTCAAATTTCACGGCAGTAACCTGAAAATCCAATTTCGTAAGTAATATTTTTAAGCATATACTAGTACTTCCTTCAACTATGTTTCTTTAATAGACTCTCAAGAAAATTATTTGGTATAATACTTACAAAGTTTAGCTTACCTTTTTCAACTTTTTTTTTTTTTTTTGAGACAGAGTCTTGCTCTGTCATCCAGGCTGGCGTGCAGTGGCGTGATCTCCACTCACTGCAACCTCCGCCTCCTGGGTTCAAGCAATTCTCCTGCCTCAGCCTCCCAAGTAGCTGGGATTACAGGCGCCCACCAGCACGCCCGGCTAATTTTTGTATTTTTATAGAGATGGGGTTTCACCATGCTGGCCAGGATGGTCTCAAACTCCTGACCTCAGGTGATCCACCCGCCTCAGCCTCCCAAAGTGCTGGGATTATAGGCGTGAGCCACCATACCCAGCACCTTTTGTTCTTAATTCAACATCTGTAGCTAGTTATGTATATAATTCTATGCTATACTGTAGTATCGAAATGAAAATGTGCCATAAAACACATTCATATAACCACAAAGAACAGGAACCAGAGTTAAATATACTCTAGCTTACAAATGATAATGTATGCTACTACAAAAAATACAAATTGGATTTTCAGACATCTACTTCTTAATGTCACTACCAGTTTTTTAAAAAATGTAGCCACTAACATAATAAATCACCAGGTATAAAACAAATTCAATTTAGAATGAATAAAATGTGAAAATACTTAGGTAAATACTAAAAAGACTTTCAAAAGCCTTACTCATTTTGTTTAGGACACAAAAGCTTGGTAGAAAATGAATCAAATTACAAAATTCTATTTTCAAAAAGGAAGTAACAGAAAATGGCACACTACAGGTCTGAAGTGGCTGCTATGAATACGTAACACTTGAAATAAAAACAGGAAAATAGAAGTAAGAAGCAGAACATACAGCTGTTTAAAAAATGTTTTTAGGGATACAACAGATATACGGGATTCATTTAGGAGTAGAGAAATCAGGTATTACCAGATACTTTACAAGCAGTAAAGCAATAATTTTAACAAGTACTCCTGTTTATAAAAGGCTTAATAGGCACATCACAAACTATATGTATTATACTTTATAATTATTTCTCCATTATACACAAAAAGGAAACCACTTTTAGTAACGTCAAAAACCCTTGAAAAACACATTAAATCAATTTTAGTTTGCCCAAATTATTACGAGCAGAACACTTCCCCCCAAAAATTATTTATTTATTTATTTATTTTTTTGAGAAGGGGTCTCACTCTGTTGCCAAAGCTGGAGTGCAGGGGCATGACCTGGGCTCACCGCAACCTGTGCCTCTTGAGCTCAAGCCATCTTCCCACCTCGGCCTCCTGAACAGTTTAGAGACTACAGGCACGTGCCACCACAACTAGCTAAGTTTTGCATTTTTGTAGAGATGAGCTTTCACATATTGCCCAGGATGGTCTCCAACTCCTGAGCTCAAGCAGTCGTCCTGCCTTGGCCTCCCCAAAGTGCTGGGATTACAGGTGTGAGCCACCATACCCAGTCGACAAATCTTTTAACAAAGGCAATTTTTATCTGAAAGGTCTGAGGTTGGCCTGAAAATTATTCAACTGCTACCACTTTTCAAAAAGTCAAAGTTTGACATAAACCCAAAATTAATATATTTTCTGCACCTATGCACTATTGGCCCACACCAGATTGAAACGGAACTTGTAAAGCTCAATGGGGGATACATAAGAGCACTAATACTTGGAAGCCCTCCAAAGTTTGGTGAAATGAGATTCTTACCTATGCTTAAAGGAAGCTAACATACCAGGTAGAATCACAAATAGAAGTAGATGAATAAGCAGATGTAAAACACTAAAAAATAATGCTTAAAAAATGACATTTCCCACTAATTTTAATGAAACTCAACAAAAGGCTAGAAGAACATAGCATCCAAATCAATTACAGATAATAAAAAGCATTAATACTTATCTGAAAAGTTTCAAGGATCACCTACCTCTTACTAACTGGGTACATTTCACCACATCTGTGTGTGGGTGTTCAATGGTGATCTCAAAACCTGAAATGATAAGCACTTTTTTTTCCAATCACTTACCACTACAATACTTGCCTGAGAAATGCCATAAACATATAATATATTAAGTTAAAGTTTCTCATCACTGACATCCTCATTACTTTTCCAAAGACAAGATATAATTTCTTCTGAAATACAATGTCTCAATTATGAAAATCAAGTTAAAGACTAAGGGTAAATATATTCAAAATTCTGAATTATAAATGATTTGTGATTATCTTAAAGTTAAAAACAAATGGCAAATACAATTGTTAACCTGGTCCCACTATTTAAGGAGAGAATTCAACTACACAACATCTTTCTTCATATTCCAAAGCTTTCTTTCATAAGACGTGAAAAGTGCAGTTTTCATAAACATAACTGTTGGGGCACACTGGTAGAAATGAGCTTTTAAATGATACGGTACTCTAGATCAAAGGGTTTTAACCACTTATAACTACACTTCATTAATAATTAAAATATGACAAACAAATCATATAGGTCTCAAGACTGCTTAAACCACTGTTTCTAATACCAAAGATGAAATGTTTAAAAGCTTTCAACATGCAATCAACCCTTAGGGATAGCAAGGTTTCTGTTGTTATTAAAAGTGAAAATCACATTTGGTTGTCTTCAGAAGCAGTAAGTAAATAAAATCCTAATAAATGGGTAATCTAGATTTATAAAGTTGTCGTGTGGTCTATACACATATTGTAATTAAATATGCAAAATACTTTAAATAAAACCACAGAGGAATATCTTCTAAATTCTAATGTTCCCCTTAAAATAACACTTTGCATTCTCTGTGCTTAAAAATATGTCATAAACAATATAGATATTACATTATTTTATATAACTGCATTATATTTTATAATGATTTATAGTTTTTAATTTTCAATTTTTTACCTAAATGAAATTTATATAATTTTATATAGTAAAACATTAAGATGTTAAATCACTGAATTTGGAAGAAATAAGACCCTCACATTTTTGGTATCTTTTTATTTTATAGAAACTTCAAATAATTTATAGTTGACCTTTTAACAATGCAGGCCCTAAGGGGTGATGATCCCCACGCAGTCGAAAATCCACGTACTCCCCTGCTAAGACTTAACTATGGTTGACCAGAACCTGCTTACCACTGAAGCCTTAATGGTAACATTAACAGCCGATTAACACATATTTTGTATATGTAGCATGTACTGTATTTTTACAACACAGTAAGCTAAAGAAAAAAACTATTAAGAAAATCCTAAGGAAGAGAAATGTATTTACTAGTACTAAGTGGAAGTGGATCATCATAAAGGTCTTCATATAGAGTTGGCTGAGGAAGAGAGGTTGGTCTTATTGTCTCAGGTTGGAAGACACAAACGGGGAGGCAGGAGAGGGAGGCAACACTTGGTGCAACGTTACAGAAATACACCACAATTTCTGTCTTTTGCTGGCATTAAATTCTCTGGCTTTAGATCCTTCAACTTCCCTTTGCTTTAAGCTTCTCTCAAATTATAGTAGAGTCCATAGGCATGCCTTTCTTGCAGCAATCCTGCATTCACATAAAAGCTGCATTTTCAATATGAGATTAAAGTGCAAGGTTTTTGTGTCTGCTGGTATAGTTGCAGCGATAGCTTCCTAAATGTCTTTTTCTTCTTTCACAATGAACCTTATACTGCATTCATTCACCTTGAAATGGTGGGCAACTGTAGCTATAGACCTCAATATACAGTACATATCAAACAATTCAACGTTTTTTTCCAACATCACAACTTTTAACTGCTTCTTGGGAGCATCTCTGGAATCACTAGGGGCACTCTGTATGGGTCCCATGGTATTAATCAAAGTTTCCAGTATTGCATGAAATATGGTAAAAATTATTAGAGAACTGCTTTTACTGATATGTGACTTATTGGACAGACAAACTCTTCAGAGATGACAAGAGTCACACAGCATTTTTAAGTGGATAATCATAACATGGGCTCTTTTCAATAGCAAGAGAAAGTGGCTACAAAATTATCACAGCAGTAGAGGTATATATGTACTGAAGTTAATTTTACGTGACTTAATACTGTACCTTTACATTTGTTTATGTTTATTTACATTTTCTCTTACCTGAGAATAGAACCATGTATGGTCTGTGTTTGTGTGCCTACGTTTTAAACATTTTTTATCTTTTAAAAAAATCAATTTGTGTATATTTTATGGCAGTAAATGATAAAATAGGCTAATATCTACATATGTTTTCCACATTCATGACATATTCAACTTTTTCTTATTTTTTCCAATTATTTCCAGGCTATAGCTCATCTACAGTTTTTTTTTTTTTTTTTTTTTTTTTTTTTTTTTTTT